AATAATACAAGATGGGAGGATGAAGTAACAATTGTAATTTATAATTTTATGCGAGTTTTGATTCTGCATATGTCTTGAATATATATACTCTAGACCAATAAGTAGTAAGCTAAGGATTGGGCAATCCAGGTAGTTCAAGTTAGAACTATACAACATTATCTCTATGTAATAGGAAAAATAGTGTATAATTGCTATATATCATGCCAGGAACTTAGAAGCCAAAAATTGGCTCCCATATTGGATACTGCATCATCTAATTTTTTTAGAGTTACAAAGCTACTCTTCTAAAATTAGGTATAAGCAGAAGTTTTAAGAGGAAAGGATAAAAGGTGTAGATGAGTCTCAATGCTGCTTCCCCTAACTGAGGAACCCCAATTTAGCAGCAAAGCCCACAAATTTATAATATAGTAGATGTAGCATAATAAAATGTGTCTAAGAAATTATCATTATTTTAGACCAAAAAAAATCATGGTATAAAATTCAAAGTTTGTTTTAACCCTATTGGCATTAAATATGGAGACAACGGCAACTCCAACTGGGCTTTTTTATCTTAAATAGATAATACTGAGTTTTTATAATGTAAGAACGTGAGCGTACAACGCTTATAGTTCTATATCCACTAATGCAACAAGATAACAGTGTAGGGTTTGCTACTGGAATTGGAATCAGAAAAATAGCAGTAGTAAATTAATCTTTATATAAACAGCAAAATCTAACTACTTGGTCATATATAGGATTAACATCTAAACTTTTACTAACACTGTCAGTTCATCAATGATGCTTCTTATACCCTTACCATCTCTCCCTTGGGATGTCATTACATTGGTATCAAAATTGCATAATTGCCTCAGCGCATCTATTCCCTTGGGGTTCAGACTTTATCTACCTAACGAATTTTATCTCAGCACTAGCTATTACTGAATCATAGCATTAGAAATAAATGCAAATTTATTGCTCCTGTTTCTGACATGAACATTTGCATATTGTCAGACAATTGCAAGTCCAATATTGAAAAAAAATTTGGATTAAAATGACACTAATTTTGGGAAAAAGGACCCTGGTCAATACCTGATGGAACCCCCAAATTGGGTACCATTAATAATACTTGGGCATAAACCACGAGCTCAGGCAGTTTGATTGTACCAAATTATCAGCCTAACATGGGGAGCCATTATTAGGTCCCTCCCCTCTTACAGCAGGTTTATTAAAACCAAAACCGTGGAGACTGGCCCTTTTATAGGGTTGGAAGATGTCCTGCAAGGTAAATACATCTTTGTGCCCAATAATTGGGTAAAACTTAAATCGTTGTCTCATGGACATAACCTACCTGTAATCAACTTTCTATTGGCTGTTCCATCAACAAAAGCGGGTCTCCAGCGATCTGATAGGTCAAATCCCTCATATTCCATAATTCAGATATTACTAAGAAATTAAACTTCACATTTATTCCCTTTGAACCTCGAGGTAGTTTAAATACTAATCTGCTAGATATTGAGAGGGTTCGTTTCTTACCTCCCAGGGCATCTAATAAAACTGATATAAAAATCAATACTTTTTGTTTTTACTTTTCTTATTTTACTATATCTGGTCAATAACCCCCTAATGATTTTTATCCCTGCAGAGGAGAATTGTCTTCTGCAAATAAATGTTGGAATTTAGTTGAAATAAACACCAGAAAAGCAACCCCAAAAATCTAAAATCCAACACAATTATTTTTGTTATAATTTTAAGCCATAATGGGTAATCCAAATGAACATAAACCTCATTATTGGTCAAGACTTTGTAAGCTCCAACATTCAAAAAGTTCTTGGCTCAAAATTTAAAAAATTTTTAAAGTAACTAACAATCTTAGCAGTATGAACCATCTGTAACTCACCTTCATGGAAGCAATTTTCTTAAGTTGCATAGTTATTAAGGTAGGTTTTTTTGCTTTTGTTGTGGCAATGAGTATAATGGTTGGCTAACTGTAAGAGAAAACTTGGGTTTAGTCAAAAATTTTCCAACATCACCCTCCTTTAGTGAATAATAAGCACCTCAAGTAATGCATCTTTTGATTTTTGTAAAGTTTCTTTGCTAATTGTTGAGATTTTGAATGACAGGACAATAAGCGCTGGATAGTTGTAGTGGATTGGCTAATATCATTCAGAAATGAATAGGGTACAAGTATTTGAGCCTTTTTAAATAAGGTGATAATGATCCCAGAAAAGATATTTATTGGATTGCCTCCTAATAAGGCGATAAGGTGATGTCAATAAATGCAGATTTTTATTAGATTGCCTCAAATGAAAGCAATAGTGAATCTAAGAATAATAGACTTTTCAAGAGCCTCTCAGTTATGAGAATAAGCCAATGAGATTATATCAGAAAAGAATAGCCTAAGCAAAAGGGTCAGTATTGACTAAGGTCATTGATATATATGTGTGAGGAGGATTTTTCAGGAGGAAAAAGAGAGTTAACAGAAAAAATCTATGACGTTTATTAGTATAAATAAAAGTGGGGTCGCCAGAGGAATTGTTTCATATTTAATTAATTTTACTAAGTTTGTCTCAAGGACTGGTGATCTCCATATTGTCCGTCCTTTGCTCAGTGGTATTAAGCCCTGTGCAACCCTTATGGCGTATATTAACTATAGCATAATTTATAAAGTTGGTGCTTACTATAGGGGGTCCTATTGAACAACTACAAAATAAAGATTCTCCAGTTGCTGGTCATATTGCACTAGGCCTGTATTGACAGGGAACCCTTAAGACACGCCACACCAGCTGAATATACAGATATCAAACTCATCCTGAACATGGTTCTCAAGAAAGCATGATGAGCTCCTTCAGGAGTGTAACAATGTTATGAAATAGCTTGACAACATGTTCAGCCAACTGCGGATCTTTGGAGCAACGAAACAGGCAACTTATTGATTGTTTGAGTGACACTACTGAATGACTACATTGCACAGAGTGGAAGTTTAAAGCACCTCCCACCCTCAGTACCCTCATTGGGAAGTGGAAGAACAATAAGGAGCTACTCAGGAAGAATTGTAATATGGGAAATATGAAACTGGGTGCCCAACCAAGCAGCTTTTCACCAATCAAGCAGGCAGCATAAGCTACTCAACACATGATGGCAGCGCTGGAGATGATTATGTCCCAGTGCTACAACTCCCTCAGGAGATGTATATACTGCCCACCTAATAGACCCATGCTACCCATGAAGCAGCGGACAAGCCGTGAGCCACTGGGCCTACTGAATCAGCTTTTCAATTAGATACCGCCTATGGGTCTCAAAAGAATACTCAGTATACTTCAAAGGCTTGCAGTTATGAGCTGGAGGAGGATTGTATTGATAAGCTGCCTTAATTTTACCATGATGGGAACGTCCATATGTTATTCAAATAATTTATATTTGCAGCAGAGGTATCTTGGATTGGCGCAAGGCTAAATTGTTGATATCCGCCCTGGATGTTGGAAGCGCTGACCAAGTCACTTGTCTCTTCCAAGCAGTTCTATTACACATCAAGAAGTGAAGGATACTGTGCTGAAGTTGTTTAGGGGTGTTAAATTTCAAGGATCACTTGCTTGATAAATTAATTACTGCTTGATTAACCAAGCTGAAGTTTGACCAACTGATCCTTGGTTTTTACAGTGGCTTATGGTATTTTGACTGTTCAGAAACTCACTAGGTATATTCAGATAGCCCCACCACTTCTGGCCAATTTTTTGGCTTGATTTTCCCTCTGTAACTGTGAACTTCAACCAAGGCAAGAAAAGTTACAAGATGTGGATCTCAAGATCCCAGCTTGCTGACACTCTCCAAAAGCAACTTTAGATAAAAGCTGGATTAAAGATTAAATAAAATAGATCTTTTATTAGACTATATTATTTGATAATTATTCATTAGGCCAGATGCCAGTATTTATACTTCTAGGGCATCTCCTGGCCACACTGAGCATTCAATCTCAAGGATTAGATTGCACCTCAGTTTGGCCCTTGAACTGATATGACTGAGATCTATTGCTAGGTTTATTGGTGGCAAAATATTCTCATATTTGGGAGGATTTCAGAGGTGAAAATCGCAATAACAAGCGTGCAAAATTGTCCTAGAATCATTTTGAAATGATTTTCATCATACTGTTACAAAATAAAATTCTGGGAAATTTTGGCATCAATTTAAGAAAATGGTGTACCCTTAATTGGGATGTTGTCAGGCCACTTTTTTAGCACTAGGTACTCCCATTTGGGCAGTCCATGTGCAAGTGCTATCATGCTGATTATCATATTGACATACAAAATTTGTCCTAGGGCGGAAAAAGGATTATGCTCATTCATCTATTTGTTCATGAAATTTGTAGACATTTTCTTTAGGTCAATACCGACTGATTTCTCATGTTAAATATTTAATATTGGTCCTGATTAGTTGGGATTAGTTACCAAAATTTGATGCAGTGATGATTTGTCCAACTGTGCAAGTGTATTCAGCCCAAAATTCCAAAAGAATAATCAGATTGAACTGACGTTGAGTTAATCAGCCTGAGCCAAATAGTTGTAGAGAAGATTGGCTTAAATGTGAAAGTGTATTCAGCCTGAGCTTTTAATAAGAAAATTAAAACATGTTGTGATAAATTGGCCAATCCATGTTATTGAAATAGCCTAATTAGACTATTAGCTCAAGCATTAGGAGGATAATTGTCCTGATCTGTTACCTCTTTGAATGGTTTATTTTTGAGTCAACCACCAGAATCTAACATTCCCCCCCACTTGACTTGAACATAAGCCCTAGTTTCGATTAGCCTTCATTGATCTTCAGCATTTGTTAATTTCAGCCTAAACTGCTGATAAATCTGGAGTTAATTCTCTCCCCATCCTCAAGTGCAAACCAAACTATTAATTAGGTGTGAATATATTTTTTATTATTTTTAGTATATCTACTTTTTTCTTTTATTATTATTTTAGTTTTTCTTTCTTTTTTTTAAATTTAAGTTTTCTTGCTCATAGATAGGTTACATATCATGCTCACTACAGGGGTCAAACCTGTGACTTTGACGTTATTAGCACCACACTCTAACCAACTGAGTTAAATGAGCTCTTTTCTTCTTTTTTAATATATTTTATTTTGTATTGAAATGTTAATATTCTATATGTTTTTTATCAGTCAAGCTCTTGAACCATTTAAAAACTTTAAGTTAACATAGTTGTATATACAATCAGCCCTAACATCTCTGTTAACGTGTGTTGTCTTCTCCATATTGGCTAATTTATGCAAATTAGTCATTATGACAACATTGTTAAGGCTGATTAGGTCTTTGATGTTCTTGTTCACAGTATCCAGCTCAGTCTGACCATAATTTAAAAATCATTGTTTAAATATAAGTCCAGGTAATTTCTTTGGCCCAAAGTGGCATGTATGGTGAGTCATTCTGTGCTTTAAGATATTTGGTAAATCAAGCTTGTTTTATTCTCATGTGCTCCCCCACTGTTATAAGATCCAGGGAATGGAAGGTACCCACATCAGAGCTATATTTCATCTCGTTGTCACAATTTCATCTGGCCAAATCTGCCAGCAAATGGTTATGTTGGTCCATTTTAGAGAGTGTCACTGATCTTGAGTGAGCACCAGTTGTTAAATTCAAAGGATCACTCGCTTGATACATTAATTTCTGCACGCATTATTGGGCTGAAGTTCAGCTGAATGATCCTTAATTTTGCTAGCAGCTTACGTTATTTTGACCATTTGGAAACACACTAGGCATATTCAGATAGCCCCAACCTTTCTAGATGAATTTGGGTTTAATTTTCCCTCTGTAATCTGGAACTTCAACTAAAACAGGCAAAGTTACAAGATGTGGAACTCAAGATCCCAGATTGCCTTAACTCTCTAAAAGCAACTTATGATAAAAACTGAAGAGGAGATTAAAGAAAATAGTTCTTTTTATTAAACTGTATCATTTGATTTTTTTCATTAGGCCAGGCGTAAGCATTTATACCTCTATGACATCTCATGGCCACATTTGAGCACACAATCTCACAGAATATTTTCCACCTCAGTTCAGCCCTTAATCTGATATGACTGAGACCTATTGCTAGGTTTATTAGTGGCAAATATATTCTCATATTTGGGAGGATTTAAGAAATGAAAATCGCAACAACAAGCGTGCAAAATTGTCTAAGGATCATCTCAAAATGAGTTTTATCATACTTCTGACAAAATACAAATTCTTGGAAATTTTGGCATCAATTTAAGAAAATGACATACTTTTAATTTGGACGTCAGCAGGCCTCTTGATAGCACTTGGTACTCTCATTTGGGCGGTCCATGTTCAAGTGCTATCATGCTGATTATCATACTGACATACAAAATGTTATATAAGTTGGAAATTATTTAAGACCAGCTCAAAATATGTTTTCATCATACAGATTACAGAAATGACTCCCTAAACAGGATGCAAACTTACCCTTTCAATAGCAATATGTACACCCATTTGGGCAGTCCATGTACAAGTGCTATCGTGCCAATTACGTGTAATAACATACAAAATTTACCCTGGGGCTGAAAAAAGATTACATTTTTTCAAATATCTGTTCATGGGATTTGTAGACGTTTTCTTCAGGTAAATTTCATCCGGTTTCTCTTGTTGATTACTTTAATATTGGTCCTAATTAGTTGAGATTAGTTGCCAAGTTTTGGTGCAACAATAATCAGTCTAACTGTATGAGTGTATTTGGCCTAGGCTTCTAATAGAATAATTAGATTGAATTGAAGTTGAGTTAATCAGCCTGAGCCAAGTAGTTGCAGAGAAGATTGGCCTAAATGTGTGAGTGTATTGGCCCAAGCTTTTGATAATATCACGAAAATCATGTTGCAATAATCAGCTAAGCCGTGTTATTTCAATATGCTTTAATTAGAGTATTAGTTTGAGCATTAGCAGGATAATCGGCCCAATCTGTTGTTTGTTGAAGGGTTTATTTTCAAGTCAACCACCAGAATCTAACAGGGGTACCACAAAGATGTTGCATCGGAAGGCTGAGTTCTTGACTATTGGGTTGCATAATAATGAGACCCTCGCTGAATTTGGTGAACAATTCATGATGGAAGCCCACATGTTAATAGGGGCAGGCTCTCTATATTAAAAATATGGGTTTTGCAATGACCTCTGCAGGAAGCCATACCACGATCTTTGCAACGTCATGGCTCCAGTTTTTCAGGATGACGTATCCCTTCTTAAAATTGTTCAATTTTTGTGCCATCTATCCACCACCTTTACTACGCCCAATACATATCGGAAAACTTCAGCAGCTGTCACCAGACCTTTTTATTTGGGTGAATCATCCTGCCTTTCTTTTATTCCGCCCAGTAACATGCAGCCTTGTTACAACTACACACCTCACCATTGACCGGGTTACCCCAAGCCATTCAACTTTTAGTCTGGACCTGTTTATGACAATTGCCAGAAACCCAACTTTTGACCTGGGCCTTTTTATGCCAACTTCAGAAGTCAAACTATTGGCCTAGGCCTGATTACACTGGTTGACAATAGTCAAACATTGGCCTGGGCCATCTTATTATTATTAAGGATGTGAGCCTTATGGGTAAATTGTTTTGATTGTGGTCTCCCTGGGGCTCCTTGCATGGAGTTTCCTCAATTGTCAGGTCCATTATCTACAGCAGGATCAGTACTACCAGGAAAAAGATGGCGCAAAGTAGAGAAAGGACTCTCTACCTCCGCTATTCTAATACCAAAAGTCCCACCTGAACCTACCAAAGTATATTTCACCAGAGTCACTCAATATGATGACGAGTTCCTATACTAGCAGCTGGGTGGAGAGGTAGATGTACTGACATGAGTGCAAGCAAAGGCCTCGGCAGATGAAGGACCTCAGGAACAACCAAAGCCTTACACCTGTCAAATTTTCAAGCAAATTTTTCCCAACGAGCTGAACCATTCTCAGATGCACTTTCTCTGGAAGGAGTGAACGTAGCCTTCCTGGTGGAAGCTATTGTTAAAGAATACCTTTAAGCCGTTGAGGGGATTATGATCTTCCTGGGAAAGAGAGATTCTTTTAATGTCACATATTAACCAGTCAAAATTTTTCTTATTCTGAGTGTACATACTGTGACATTTTTGTAGCAAAAAAATTGATTCACGCCATAAATTGATATGGGCGTTCAGGTCAACATTGTTTTCACTAAGTTGGTGGCGAAGTTGATGTCAAAACTTGATGTAGAACATCAGATGGTGTATGGTACCACAGGAGCTGAAAGCACGGTCTCAGGGGAGTGTATGTGCGCTACCTTTACAGTCTGGGTCAATTGTCATTGTAGCTCTGATGATAGTGCTATCAAACAGTAATTATGACCTTTTATATGGAACTGCTTTCATGCAACACTTCAGTGCTGTCATGGATATGATGGAGGAGACATTCGGAAAATTTGGATAAGCAGATCATAATTTATTTTACCTCCAGTGGAATGCCAAAGGATCCAGTAGATATGGGACATGTCAACCTTGCTTATAGTGATAGGGTAATTCCATTTTGCTACCATCTACTAAAAAAGAAGACCCAGGTCCTACCCCAGAAAATATATGAATATCAAGAGCTGCCTCTCAGAGCTGCTGGGACTATATCCATCCTCTCTGGCAACCAAGTAATAGTTAGCACCGAATTAGAGGTGGAAAACCCAACAGGACTATATAAGAAGGTTGTTGGGCCTTATCAGCAATTGCAGCTTGAGCCCCACGTGGCTCCAGGTATTATACTGCTGGGTCACAGAGAAAACAAAGTTTAACTAAAAAACCTACAAAAAGAGCCCTTACAGGTCTGCCAATATCAAATAGGTGCGTATTTACACCTGAACCCTGTTGAGGAGGTCCTTCAGTTTCACAAGTTTGGGTCACTAGATGAATTTTGTCTAACGTCAAACTGCACCTGGCGTAATGGCGCTAGTGTTAAGTTTTCAGCTGATGGTGCAAGCTAAAATAACTTAACAATGAAATTGAGGATATAAACTTGCTTTTAAAATGAAACTTCTGCTTGTAATCAGGAAGTAGATTCTCCAATAA